GCAAAGAGCAAGTAAACTATTAAACTCGCTTGTATGGTGAGATTGACGGTGTTCAGAATGTTTCTGTTCTTACAAGCGTGCAGCTTTTCTACCACAACAACTTGCTGCACCATAAGCAAGGTGCATATCGACAAGTTCTTCAAATGATGAATCCATTTTAAATGACATTTTTGAATTAACAAACAACACATGTTTTGTCACAATAGAATTAAGTTTTAAATTCAAGTAATCACTGTCCCTTAATGTGTCACAATGACATGTCCATCAATAATTATGTTATTGACGATAACCATTAATGGTTCAATTTTATTCTTGAAAATGAAACAAGATCCGCAAAACCCTCAAGTGAAAACAGTTGCGTTTTCAGTTGTTTCATCTAAAAAAAAAGTTTCAAAGTTGCAAAAAAAGACGGTGTTATATTTTTATGAAAAAAAAATAACAGGTTGCCCCATCAGCACACTCCTGGAATTACTGTAATGGACTCGAAAGAAGCCTGTTTAGCAACAAACTGAAAATTTTATTAAAATCGGTTGAAGCGTTTTTTAGATATTAAAAAAATAAACGATTTTTTTTACAAATTTCAACGCTCTGTATCTCGAAAACGCAACGTTTTCAGGCGTATGTTGATATGGCAAAAAATTGTTATTATGATGTCTCCTGCCACCCCTAGAAGTTTGTTGGTATATTTATGGAACACCCTGTATAAGATCCTGAAAAATTTTAACGTCAAAAACTATAAATTCCACAATGTTATTATAGAAAAAGCAATAAACAATACTTTTTTCATCGTGTGCTGTTTTAACTGATGAAAATACCAGTTATTACTGGAATTTTATCTTTGCTATATTCGGTAGTCCTTAAATTAAGAAATATACGACATTGTTATTTTGTTATTTGCTGTTATCCCAATAAAAATCTTCCCGCCAGATTTTTTATGGTGCCATTTTGTTGATTGCCCAGACCGCATTTTTCAATTTAGCCAAAAAAGGACAACCAATTTAATAGCCTCATTTTATTGTTTATGTCTGAGGCTGTTCATAATATAGCGTTTTGAGATTTGAACAAAACTATTAGTGAACATACACTAAGAAAAATTGGACGCATTTTCACTCAATGATGTATCAATTTCTGTCCACGCGATTAAGTGAAATGTTCCTCTATTAGTATGAGTAGGTAGTACAATTAAAATTTTATGAGTGAAACTATAAGTTTTACTTCATATATTATCAAAAATATGTGAATTTATCAAAATACCCAATATTGGTTGAAAGGTATTCAATAATTTCACTCAATGAATTCACCCTGACCGATTTATTTACAGTGTATGTACTTAAATAAAATCTAATTTTTTTTGGATTCTTACTTTCAACAACTGTTTGCTCTTTGTGAAAAGACAGTTTGTGGTACGTGTGTGTCAATAGTGCAAATAAATATATATTTCAGTTGCTGTAGGTTTTAAGATGGCATTATTTTGATAAAAAACCCTTATCTGCATTAAACTATTTTTTTTTCGTAACTTTTATGGATATGTATTTATGGTTTTAAAAAGTATATATTTGTTAGTTTGTATTTTATGGGTTTATTGATAAGTTTATCGCCTTATATTTTGGAGACTTCAATAAGCGAACAGACGACGAACCTAACCAATGTTGTCCAAATACAATTTAGTCCAAAATTGGTATCAAAAGAGGAACTGAAGAAAATATATTTGCTAGAGATAATGATATATTTTTGATCCCCTTTGACCAAAAACTTTTATTTGTTTAAAAATAATTCTTCTAACTCATTTGAATCTTTTGATGATTGATTGGTATGTATGTTTTTAAAAGGTAGGTATATGTTTATTATATTGTATTTTATCGGTTTGTTGATAGGTCGATCGTCTTATATCTCGGAGACTTCAATAGGGGATCAGACAATGAACCTGACCAATGTTGTCCAAATACAATTTAATCCATCTTGATATCAAAAGAGAAACTGAAGAATATATATTTGCTCAAGAATAAAAGACAATGATATATTTTTGTCCCTCTCTGATCAAAAATTTTCATTTGTTTAAAAGTAATTCTTCTAACTCATTTGTATCTTTCGATGATGGATTGGTATGACTGTTTTAAAAGGTATATATTTATTATTTTATATTTTATCGGTTTATTGACAGGTCGATCATCTTATGTCCCGGAGACCTCAATAGGTAATCAGACGACGAACCTAACCAATGTTGTCCAAATACAATTTAATTCAAAATCTTGGTATCAACAGAGAAACTGAAGAAAATATATTTACTTGAGAATTAAAGACAATGATATTTTTTTATTCCTTTCTGACCAAAAATTTTTATTTGTTTAAAAGTAATTATTCTTCTAACTCATTTATATCTATCGATAATGGATTGGTATGTATGTTTTTAAAAAGTATTATTTTGTATTTTATCGGTTTATTTACGGTCGACCGTCTTATATCTCGCAGACTTAAATAGGGGATCAGACGACGAACCTAACCAATGTTGTCCAAATACAATTTAGTTCAAAATATTGGTATCAAAATGGAAACTAAAAAAATATATTTGCTCGAGAATTAAAGACAATGATATATTTTTATTCTCTATTGACCAAACACTTTAATTTGTCTAAAAGTAATTCTTCTAACTCATCTGTACCTTTTGATGAAAGATGGGATGTATGTTTTTAAAAGGTATATATATATTTAGATATTATTTTGTATTTTATCGGTTTATTGACGGGTCGATCGCCTAATATCTCGGAGACTTCAATAGGGGAGCAGACGACGAACCTAGCCAATATTGTCCAAATACAATTTCGTCCAAAATTTTGATATCAAAACAAAAATTGGAGATAATATATTTGAAACAACTACTGCTTTCAACAGTCTGTGACAGAATTTCGTTAGCGTTTCAGCCAGGCGAAGTTTAGATATTGGCGATGTTCTTCCCACAACGTATGTATATTTTCAGCGTTACTACCGACGTACTCGGATTATTACAATATATTTCAACGGACACCCACGGAATGACAAGCACCGGGTTGTTCATAGGTCAGTTTACGCCAAGAATAATGTAAGTACACGGTATAACGGACCCCCTGAGCATATGTTGACATGTATGTCGTTGTTCCTTTATCTGATGAGTCAGAAGCCACCTTTCTTATATATAGATTTCGGCGTGATCCGGTCTCTTTACATTTTTCAGTTACGAACAATAAATATGAAAATGCAATTGTGTTTCTTTATGTTACAAATATCAATATCTGCGGTAATAGCATATACATTCCTGAAAATTCTAAAACAGAAGAAAACAAATATATTGTTACTGCCTATAACTTTTTTCTGCTGCGTCTAATTGTAGCAATTTAATTTGAAGGATAATACTGATTAAATCGTATTGCATCTACCAGGTGCATTTAGAACAATTTAGTGAATCTAATAACAAATTTTTATTTAAACTGCTGTTTCTGAGACATATTTCGATCTTTCATCGAAAGACTTAGAAGTTGAAAGTCTATTTTCAAAGGCGGAAACGTATATCGAAGATTCTAATGAGACTGAAATTAAAGTTTCAAATAACATGTCTTTTAAAGCAGTTGATGTTTCTGATTTAATAAAACTTCGTCAGCATCGACACTTGATAATTCATTGAAAATTAATTATTGAACCATAATTGAAGCTTCAGAGCAAGATATGATATTTAGAAATTTTTAATATTATTATTGAATACCAATTAAATTAACAAGAAACATATGTATCAAAAGTACTTCTTTGTTCCAAGTAATTAAAGTGTCATTTTGACACATAGGAAACAGAATTAAGGTTAAAATGGTAGCGTCTTTTCGGCAACTTGTATTTTTTTGAAAGTGTATAATTGATCAATTCAATTATGACTTTTTTCCGATTATTTTTGCTTTTAACTTTTCAGCTTCTGTTATTGTCTGTATTTTTTCAGTATTTTTGTGTTTTTGCGGATTCAAATACTAGAATTAGACTGGCATTTGTCACGTCAATGTCATAACCTGCAATCAATTAAAGTAATAACAAATATAATGCTATATTTTAGAGAATTTTGTTTGGCCCTGTTGTAAAACAGAAGATTTTGAACTTTTTTCTAACTATGAAATTAACAATACTATAATTACTATTTGTAGTCATAGTAAAAAAAGTCGACAGGTGCGGTCACAGTTTAAACATTACAGAAAACAAAAAGTAGCTTCTAGAAGTTGAATGTACTTTAAATATTCAAATGTCAAAGTTTTATGATAATTTTTGGAAAAATTTGATTGAATTCCTTAAAAATTAACGAATAAGTAAAATTTAATTACATTAGAATATTTCCACATATTAGACTATGTGTCACTCAATTGAATTGATCTTAAGAACAAGGGATTTTTTTTCAAAATTTGTATCAATAACAAAAACAACAAAAAATGAAGACTTTTTAAATTTTCCTTAGCGACATCTACAGTTTAGATAAAAATAGCATACATTTATGTTCAGCTGCCCCAAAAAGCTTCCGAATACCGAATTGCAAAATTGGAAAAAAAATTCTTCCACCAAAATTGTACTAAGATAACTTGATCTAAATTGGATTATTTTCATCCTGAAATTAATTAAAAAAAAGGTTTATTGATAATTTACATTAAAAATTATTTTAAAATTTAAAAAACTAGCCTTATTTTTTCTATAAATCGTAACTCGTAAAAGAAATTTTAAATCTAACAAAGTTTGCTTTTGATAAAAGCAGAAATTTGGCAACTGTTGGGTTTGACCATCTTAATTTTATTACTCGAAAAGCAAAACAAATAAAACAATGCCTCTTTATAAAACACCAGATTCGTTTTAACCCGGATGACGTGTGTGGGGGCGCCATGGGAATAAACCCAAAACTGGTGATTACTCGAATGTGGTGCATTTTGAGTGGGGTGCGCCAGCCAGTTGACCATCTCATAATGCAGTATAAATCCACAGTTATGGAGTTTCTTGGGTTCAGTCTGCGGGCAGTCTGAAGTGTTGGTGATTACCGCAGAACAGTCAGTGTCATCATGGTCATGGAAAAAATCGTGAGTAGTTCAATAACACTTGCTTTGATTAGGCCTTGATTTGCTCGAGGTACTCACGTAGCCGCGAAGTCCTCTCATTTTTCAGATTTTGTTGAGCGTGTTTTACATTAATTTCCAATGAAAGCATAAATTTTATATCATGTTTAAAATACTGCCAGTCGGTTATTTATTTGTGGTTTTGATTAGTTTTTTTCTTCACTAGAAATGAGAAAAATAATAAAGGAGAAAAAAATAAAAATAATATCAGTCAAGGATTTATTTCCATAAACGTATTTTTATCTTACACCAAGAATGAAGAAAGTACTAATATGTATGCCTAAAATTTTAAAATTTAGGGTTAGATTTTTTTTATTATTCAGTTGGTTACTTTTTTCTGTTTTGATTTGGGTTGTTTCAAGAAATATAACAGAAAAACCTCTATTGTATTTTCTCGATGTTTCGTAATTTTTCTGCGACATTATCAGGACTCTACGATTAAAACATTTTACGTAGATACAATTAATGTTAGTCAATTTTTATATTTTTCTTAAAGAACTACAAAATCAGTCAAATTCTGTATAATAAAAACATAAATAACCAGGCACAAAGAAGATGTCGATAAAAATTTACCACTTCTATAATGCGATAATAATTAACAATTGCAAATGTACACAACTAAGTAAATTTGTTTAAATTATATTCTTGTGGTGGATTTTGTGAGCCATAAAACTGCAAATGTATATACGGGCATTTAGATATTAAAAATATGAATCTTCTATTTTAAACACAAAGAATTTTAATTTTCAATTTATTGTAAATGGCAAGCGAGGATTTTCTACTTTATCATTACAAAGGCACAAAAAAGCGAATAAAAACAGTTACAAAAACATTAAAATAATTTTAAATATATAAAATACAGAACAAATTTATAATTTCGAACATTACTTTTTAAATTGTAATAAGTATTTAATTTTTGGACATCTTGCTTTTTATTAATGCTGTTTTTAAATTTCTTAGTATCAATCATCTATAAAAAAAAACTTTTTATAATTGTTTTGCCTTCTAATTATAACAGTTTAATTAAATTAAATATCTACTTTTATATGGCCAGTATAAACACAATAGATACTTACTTTAAATTTATTCTTATTTTCAGTGACATAAATACTGAATTAAATAAAAAAGTATTAAAGAAAACATACAACAAATAAATAATAACAGATAGTATCTACTTCTGATAATTTTTAAAATTGTGTTAATAAAAGGGATACTAGTTTATTTTTGTCATAACAATCCAGGTTTTTTATGCACATTTAGATGAGTTATATTGGTTCAGTATTTGGAAAAAATAATTTTCAGTTTAACATAAAGTATAGAATGATCGATATACAATTGATTTTTAGAAAATTAAATTTTGAAAATATATTTTCAGTGGCTGTTACTGAAATGTAAGGCAATGTGGCATACATTTTTTTAATCCTACGTTTGAGTGACAGTCATTGTAAATATAACATTGTTTCGGAATTTTACTATCTTCAGTCGTTTTAAAGAACAACGGCATATTCCTAGATATGTCTATATCCATACATAATTATTGTTTTTGTTTAATATCAGCTGTTTTTAAATCTTTTTGGTTTGATCACAAGACAATATAATAACTAATATAGAAAATATTTTTAACAGTGGAATATTTTTGGTGTATTTTCTAAATTATTCATTGACAGTGATTCACGTATTCCTAATATTTTTTTTACGTTTTCAAAATGAGAACAACCATTTAGACATTTGCTCGTATATTCAAAATCATTAACATTTCAATTATATTATTTCTGTTTTTAATTTAAATTTATTCCGATACTTTTTTCTTTGAAACATTAAATATATTTTATATATTATGCAAATCACGAAATGCTGCTGAGTAATAAAAAAAATCAAACAATCTCCTTTTCGCCCACACGATTCTCTATGAATTTTTCAGTGTGATATTTGGATCCTTGATATGTCAGTCTCCCGCTACGTTTTTAATTGCTTTTCAACACCGGGATTTTTTGTAATCCTCTCAATGCTACTTTGTTCAACTGAAATTGTTTATTTGTGCCACAGCTTGATTCACGTACTTAGAATGACATTTATAAATAAGTAAAATAAAAAAAAAACTTATTATTTTTCAGTGTACCTACTTAAAATTTATAAATAAATATAAATGCAATACAATTTATTTAAATAATATGCTAATTCTGATATTTAGTACGCAATTTGAAGGATATGAAAATTATTTGAATTTTAAGGATTGTTTAAAAATATGCTCATTCTTGGACAAAAAATATTTAACCATCATTTATTCTTTTATATGTGATAGAAGTATGCCTTAGTTGCACATAGATGGTGCTACGATGTAAAAAAGAAAGTTTTACTGATTTGTAACGAACGTTATTCTACCAAAATTTAATTTACCTGTTTGTAATTGGCGCATCCGCCAAAAGTTGCAATTTCTTGAACCACTAAAACGAGGGATAAGGTACTTTAAATTGGAAAAATATTTTCTTTCCTTCTTTTTTGGCCTTGATTAGTCCAAAATGTATAATAAAAAACACACTATCTTATTTCTTTAACGTTTTATGGTTTTTATTACGATAGCCTCAGGACTGTATGTTTTGTTATTGTAAAAGTTCATAAGGACATTTTAAATATAAAATTGGTAACATTGATATTTTCTATTTTATATATGAAACTTAATAAGTAATTCAATTAATTTAATATTAGTTTATTAATATTAAAATTAGTTTTTTCATTTAATTTAGCATTTACAACTTTTCTGACATATAAAATCCAATATATAAAGTCTTGAGGCTGTAATAAAAATGAAGAAACGTCCTGAGCCGAATCAGATTAAAAAAAGAGGAAAAGTAACAACCGAACTATTATTTACAAATGTGCCTGAATGTTAATTCGTCAACTTGTTGACGAAAATTCGAATTGATCAGCACAATGAAAATCTATCTAGTTAGTGTAGATATTAAATGTACGGTGATTCAGAATTTATTTAAAAAAAATTAGGTGGGTGTATATATGTGACACATCAAATAATTTTAAAAACATATTACTGTCATTGGAAAATTACTTATATGCAAAAATACTACGGATAACATATGTCGTATGAAAAGTACAGACAACTTTTTATTTTGTGTGTGTTATTTAACTTGTCGTGTTCTGCAAGCAATAGAAAAAAATTATTTAATGAAGTCGTCTTCCTGCGTATTACAAAAACAGTAGTGGATGAAATTCCATACATATTACATATACGTTTAAATAAATAAATTACTCCCATTATTTCTACAAATAATTTCATGTCGGATAACGAATTTACATATCTATTAATTAGGCATTTTCTTAAGAATAATATTTTAGCAGTTAATGTGATTTTGGCAAAACTGGTTGAAAACCAACTTTTAAGGTTTTTGAACTGCCGGTGATAAATTCGTCTTCGGAAAAATATTAATGGCAAAAGTCCTTTCGCCTGTTGCAAACAGAATTTGCATAAATACCTACCAATTCGAAAATGTAAATGAGGTTTTATGAAGTTTTTTGCCGGAGATTAATTGATTGTTTACTTATAAAAAAAGAACTTATTGAACTCTTGGGAATGTCTCCCAGGCGTTTACATAACACTCTCGATGTCGTTTTATAAAAAAACCGACACGGACAGGATTGTAGTAATAAATTTACATGGTTTCTTATTTTATTCGGTTTGGTATTTTCCACTAAAAGAATTATCAAAATTATAGAAACAGCGAGCATTAACGTGAAGTGGAAGCAGTCAAGGTTGTGTCAAGGAACTCTTCTTTTGTCTAAGGTTATTTTTTTGTTTTAACCGTTGACATAAGCGTTGGTTCTGAAACCATTAATCTTTTCGCATCAAGCCGAAACCATAATTAATTGTGTCTGAAGATTTAATCGAACCGACGTCCATAATAAAGAAATCAGACAAGTTTTAATATGAGGTCTGTTCAAAAAATAACCGAATTTTATTTTTTTAAACTTTATTCTTAATTTCTCATTCAAAGTACCTCCCCCTTATTCACACATTTTTCCCAGCGCGAAGCAGTCATTTGAAATGGACCTTAAAGTCTGTGACGATTTCGATGTCATCAATAAATCAATAATAGAAAATGATGTTCTTTCAGCACTAATTTTAATTTCGGAAATAAGAAAAAATTGCAAGGAGCTAGGTCTGATGAGTAAGGAGAATCAGAGAGTACCAATAGCAACTCGTTCTACGACACGCCCCTACAGGATGCTCATCTCCAAATCTCAATGTACGATTTAGTCAATTTTCGAGTGGAATTTTTCACAAAAGATTTTATAATTAATAATTTTAAATAAGGCCATATTTAAATATGTGAACTAATATAAAAAATCCGGCATGTGCAAGAGGCCTATTGTTACTTTACATTTTAGATTCTAACTACATTAGGTCGTTAGCCTCTAATTAAAGAATACGACGTTTCGAGAGACAAGCTACACTCATCATTAGATGTTTTAATGTTCATAAAGCTAAATTGAAGTAAACTCTAGTCAATTAAATACTATTACGCAATTATCTATGTTCGTGCTCTTTGTTTTGTTGAACATTAACTTTTACGACATCTAATTCAAATATCACTTTTTTGACCGTATTTCTTCAGTTAATGGAACGAATTCGTAAAGACATTATAAAGACAAAAAAGGCAAGAACACTAATGGCCAATCTGACATGTAAATCTATACAGTAATCACACATACACGACAGGACAATTTATCACATTTTATCAACGAGAACCTGTTTAAAACTATGTTTGGCCTGTCTATATACGTTAGGAGCAAGCTAGTGATATACTTGTATCTGGCAAATCAACACGTGTCATTCAAAAAAATTGTTTTGAGACAGGACCATATAAGTCTTTGTATAAATTAAGCTGATACGGATTTGTGGTCTTATTTTATTTGGAAAAGCTTGTCAGCACATATTTTGGTCCTCAGTT